TCCATGAGCATGGTATGTTCTTCCATTTGTTTGTGTCCTCTTTTATTTCACTGAGCAGTGGTTTGTAGTTCTCCTTGAAGAGGTCCTTTACATCCCTTATAAGTTAGATTCCTAGGTATTTTATTCTCTTTGAAGCAACTGTGAATGGAAGTTCATTCATGATTTGGCTCTCTATTTGTCTGTTACTGGTGTATAAGAATGCTTGTGATTTTTGCACATTAATTTTTTATCCTGAGACTTTGCTGAAGTTGCTTATCGACTTAAGGATATTTGGGGCTGAGATGATGGGGTTTTCTAAATATACAATCATGTCATCTGCAAACAGGGACAATTTGACTTCTTCTTTTCCTAACTGAATACCCTTGATTTCTTTCTCTTGCCTGATTGCCCTGGCCAGAACTTCCAACACTATGTTGAATAGGAGTGGTGAGAGAGGGCATCCCTGTCTTGTGCCAGTTTTCAAAGAGAATGCTTCCAGTTTTTGCCCATTCAGTATGATATTGGCTGTGGGTTTATCATAAATAGCTCTTATTATTTTGAGATATATTCCATCAATACCGAATATATTGAGAGTTTTTAGTATGAAGGGCTGTTGAATTTTTTCAAAGGCCTTTTCTGCATTTATTGAGATAATCATGTGGTTTTTGTCTTTGGTTCTGTTTATATGCTGGATTACATTTATTGATTTGCATATGTTGAACCAGCCTTGCATCCCTGGGATGAAGCCCACTTGATTGTGGTGGATAAGCTTTTTGATGTGCTGAAAAACAACCCCATCAAAAAGTGGGCAAGGGATATGAACAGACATTTCTCAAAAGAAGACAAGCATACAACCAACAGACACATGAAAAAATGCTCGTCGTCACTGGCCATCAGAGAAATGTAAATCAAAACCACAATGAGATACCATCTCACACCAGTTAGAATGGCAATCATTAAAAAGTCAGGAAACAACAGGTACTGGAGAGGATGTGGAGAAATAGGAACACTTTTACACTGTTGGTGGGATTGTAAACTAGTTCAACCATTATGGAAAACAGTATGGTGATTCCTCAAGGATCTAGAACTAGAAGTACCATATGACCCAGCCATCCCCTTACTGGATATATACCCAAAGGATTATAAATCATGCTGCTATAAAGACAAATGCACACATATGTTCATTGCGGCACTATTCACAATAGCAAAGACTTGGAATCGACCCCAATGTCCATCAGTGACAGACTGGATTAAGAAAATGTGGCACATATACACCATGGAATACTATGCAGCCATAAAAAAGGATGATGTCATGTCCTTTGTAGGGACATGGATGCAACTGGAAACCATCATTCTCAGCAAACTATCACAAGAACAGAAAACCAAACACTGCATGTTCTCACTCATAGATGGGAACTGAACAATGAGATCACTTGGACTCGGGAAGGGGAACATCACACACCGGGGCCTATTATGGGGAGGGGGGAGGGGGGAGGGGGGAGGGATTGCATTGGGATTTATACCTGATGTAAATGACAAGTTGATGGGTGCTGACCAGTTGATGGGTGCAGCACACCAACATGGCACAAGTATACATATGTAACTAACCTGCACATTATGCACATGTACCCTAGAACTTAAAGTATAATAATAACAAAAAAAAAAAAGAAAGAAAGAAATTGCTGCCCTGTCAAGGTGCCTTTCTCTAATGATCAAGTTTGGTTTTGAATCCAATGGGCACATGTTATTCAGATACTAATTCATTAAGAAAAAGTTATCAAAGACTAATTTCTTATTATAAGAATGGCTAGTTTATCACTGTATCTTTATAGAAACTTACCTAAGAAGTGATATTTTTGCACTATTTTCTAAACTCTCATATATTTATGATTTCTAGAATTTTTAAAATGATAATTTTACTGTCCCTTTTTTGCATTGCCAATTAGGTCCATCATCTTGTTATGTTTAATAAACCTCCACAGTCACTTGATATTTTTAACCTGTATGTAAAAATAAGGTAAAATTTTAGCAGTGTGAACTAATTTTCCTTTTTAAATATATAACAAATTGCATACATTTTATTCATTCTAAATTTTAAACAAGTAAATTCATGACATAATCTATAGCTTCCAAAAATAAAACTGAAAGCCAAAGACTATTAATTATCACATATCACATATGAAATTTGATCTTTATAGCAAAGATCAAATGATTAATGTTGCTTTCAAAAATTGATTTGTGATCCTGATGTTTTCGGATCAATTGATAGCAATTATTTTTGCGCAATCACTTAACAATGACAGATGCTAAATATTGATTTTTTTTTCAGGTGAGACTTAGGCTCCCTGAGCAGCTACAGTAGGAGAAAGAAGTAGTGGCATTTAATTCTAATTTATTCCTGAGAAAGTGGTGACTGACTGCAGTTCATGAAGTCCGTGGCAAATGTTAGATGAAATGGTGAAATTATTCAGAAACATTAAAACTAAAAATTAAATTAGATTTCAGAATATTGAGTAATAAATCCCATGCCATTCATATTAGCATTGCCATTTAACTTGATGAAAGTTGCCTTAAAGAGATAAACGTATATTGTAAGTACTAATAGGAAGATGTATGCTAATTTTCTGATAGAGCAATATCAGAGAAAGTTGATTACAAAACTATATCAAAAGCATTAGAATTTATATTATTTATAAAACTTAAGAGTTATATAATGGGCCAGGGGTGGTGGCTCACACCTGTAATCCCAGCACTTTGGGAGGCCGAGGCGGGCGGATCACGAGGTCAGCAGATCGAGACCATCCTGGCTAACATGGTGAAACCCTGTCTCTACTAAAAATACAAAAAAAATAGCACGGCATGGTGGCGGGCGCCTGTAGTCCCAGGACTCCGGAGGCTGAGGCAGGAGAATGGCGGGAACCCAGGAGGCGGAGCTTGCAGTGAACCGAGATCGGGCCACTGCACTCCAGCCTGGGCAACAGAGCGAGACTCTGTCTCAAAAAAAAAAAAAAAAAAAGAGTTATATAATGTCTTTATAACATTAATCCGGGGTAACAAAATTATTTCATTGCTATTGTCTTTGTTTAGTAGTGTGGTACAGGCCAGGCACAGTGACTCACACCTGTAATCCCAATGCTCTGAGGGGGGCGAAGCTGGTGGATCACCTGAGGCCAGGAATTCGAGACCAGCCTAGCCAATGTGGGGAAACCCCATCTCTACTGGAAATACAAAAAATTAGCTGGGCATGGTGGCGGGTGCCTGTAATACCAGCTACTCAGGAAGCTGAGACAGGAGAACTGCTTGTACCCGGGAGGTGGAGGCTGCAGTGAGCCGAGATGGTACCATTGCACTACAGCCTGGGCAACAAGACCGCAACTTCATCTCAAACAAACAAACAACAACAGTAACAGAAAGTAGTGTGATACATTGCATATTTACAAAAAAAGATTCAAAATTAGTTATACAATATTTACTGGAGAGCCTACTAGCGATCAAGCATTGTTAGGAATAAAACGAAGAAAAGCACAGAAGTCATCCCACCATCCTTCATGTAGATTGCAGTCCAGAGGAAAGAGAAGCAGGTCAGGCTCAATCATGAAAATAAATGTATTGTTACAATCTGTGATGAACACCATACAGAAGAATTTCAGGTTGTGAAAGAACTGACCTGCACATTAATGTATCAGTAAAATATAAATTATCTATTTCATTTTAACTCTTTTATTCCAATAAGATGACATTAATGTGTGTAGTAGATATAAAAATAACTATTTAAATCTCTAAGATCAGTTGGGGAATGTTTGAAGTGACTTCTTTTGCTAAGATTTTATCTTTATGACAAGGTATAAAATAAAAATTTCCTATGTTTAATTGTTGGTTTTTATTGCACAAAGATTTTTTACATTAAAAAGATAATTATCTCATGATTATATTAAGTGAAATTCTAAAAACTTTCCCAAACAGTATGTCAAACTCATGAGTATGCTGAACACACAAATTTTCTTAAGTATTATGAATAAAGATTTCTGATAAAATGAGAAACTTGTGTGTGGAAGGAGAAAGAAAAAACGAATATATACAACCTAAATAGTAGAGGCCACACATAAAATAATTATACTACAAGCACGTGGTAAATGTTCTAACAATGGTACAAATGAGATGTGGAATTTTAGACAGGAGAGAAACATCAGTTTTATCTTGTTGGGCTGGGGAAAAACAATAATAGAGGTGTGGGCTTAGCACTGTAGGTGAAATTTAGATAGGAATTGAGGAATAATGATGCATAAAAAGTATATTAAACAAACTACCAAAATTAGGAAATTTCAGGGTCTTTAAGGAATAGTAATCTTATTTGGTCTGAGAGAATTTAAGGTACTTATTAGGAATCATGATAAAGTAGACTGGAAGAGCAGGGATGAATCCGATTGTCAAGGGGTTTTGAATGCAAAAGTAGAAAATTTCACATAATTCAGAGAATTTTGTTGTTAATTATTTATTATAAAGAAAAAATTAAAATAGTATTAAAATTTGTAAAAAAAGAAATAATAATAAGGAATATTTGTGGGTATTTCTAAGGTACCTCTTGGATAGCTCCCAGAAATTAATGCTAAATCAGACTAATGAATGCACATTTTTAGCAGTTAACTTAGAAATCCTTCAAGTTCAAACAAGTTTAGCATGAAAATGTAGCATGACCTAATTCTTGATCTTAGGCTCATAAGATCTGAAACAGCTAAAGGAGGACTATGTTTTTTCCATAAAATAACTGACAAATTTATGAAGGTCATTTCTTTCACGTTTCTTACTACTACAGGGTCATATTAAGTGGCTCAGAAATTTTTTAACATTTATAAATCTCATAATTGTGAAACAAACATGATAATTTTATTTGTCCTCAGTTAAACCTTGGATCAGTATTGGTTTTATTTTCTCTTATATTAAATCAAATTTTCTGTTGTTTCTATTTATGTTCCTAGTGCTTCTACTTATATTTTGTTTTCTGGTCTATTTATAAATCACAGATCCCAGGGATTTGTGCTGTCTCCAACAGCCTCCTTTGTTGATGCTTCTGATGTGACACAAGGGGTTGATACTATGTGGACGTCTGTCAGCCCCTCTGTTGCAGCACCCTCTGTGTGCCAGGAGGATGTATGCCACAATGGAGGCACATGCCATCCCATCTTCCTCTCCAGTGGTATAGTGTCATTCCAATGTGACTGTCCACTACATTTCACTGGTCGCTTCTGTGAAAAAGGTAATCAATCTTCATTATCCTTTTGTATTTATTTTTAAAAACTTCTCCAGAGAATGGACAGGAGTTGCAATGTATTGTAAACTTAGTGATGGGTACTAGCACAAACAAGAAACATCTGTATAATTTTATTTAAAAATCAATTCTGATAGAATACATTCAGTTTAGTATTGTAGAAGCAAACCTAAGGTTTTTTTGCATCAGGAATGCCATTCGACATATATTTCCAATTGCCATATAAAATAGAGGTTAAAATTCAAACATAGTGATTTCTATGTAGTCACTTCTAAAATTATGGTGAATCTTTCCTTTGTTTCCATAGAGACAATTAGGTTCTAATTAATACTATTTTTATTGCTTAATTGCCAAATAGCCACATTTATATACTTCATATGTAAATCCTCATATTTGAATTTAGTGTTTAAGAATAGTACATTAACTTTTGATGCTTAAGAATATGGTTTTAACATTAATGAAGCTGTTAATGAAAAAAAAATATTCTCCTATTGTCAACATCTAATAGCCTCCTCAGACGTTTTCAGTTAATTAGGGAAATGCTAGACAACTAAAGCCAGAAACACCCTGGACAGATTACAAAGGCATTAAGTCATGATGCAGCTGACTGGTTGTCCTTGCACTGATAGCTGAAGTGTCGTTGTGTCTATAAAACAAATCTCATGTTCTAAATTAGGGAGGAGGGGATGGGGAATACTATTGGATTATGATTCAGATAGCAGATAATGTATTACTTATCCAAGACTGTATTTAATAACTCCCCATTTAAGCACTAAAATGTGGGACCGCCTAATGTTAATTCAAGGTGTGTGGATGTGTGTGTGTGTGTGTGTGTGTGTGTGTGTGTGTGTGTGTTATTCCACCCTTCTTCCACAATGACTTTGTGTGACTGTGAATGTTTAGTATTTAGCCAAGTAAGCAAGCAAATATAGTAAAAGGCACAGAAATGGAAACACAGTCTATTTTCATGTTCATCTTAAGACACCATAGAAGTGTTCTTCAAAATTGATTTTATCTATAAAATGCTCTGAAGATACATCGCTACGGCTTGATTTTTAGAAAAGCATTTCATGTGTTTGTAAAATATCATGATGTTTGCTTTCTGCTATAATTTAAGACCATTGATATTTTATGAGTAGAGAGGTCTAGGGAGATAATTTGGATTGTAAAGCTCTTTTAGATCTACATTTAACTATTTAAAACTCTGAGAGGCTTTTTATCTTTTTTATTTTGTGCTAGGTAGAGTCTTAAAAAATACTCTTATTTATTAATCTATCTTGAGATGGAGTCTCGTTCTGCTGTCCAGGCTGGAGTGCAATGGCGTGATCTTGGCTCACTGCAACCTCCACCTCTCGGATTCAAGTAATTCTCCTGCCTCAGCCTCCAGAGTAGCTGGGATTACAGACATAAGCAACCACACCAGGCTAACTTTTATATTTTTAGTAGAGACAGGATTTCACCATGTTGGCCAGGATGGTCTCAAACTCCTTACACCTTAGGTGATCCACCTGCCTCAGCCTCCTAAACTGCTGGGATTACAGATATGAGCCACTGTAACTGGTCTATTTTAGTTTTTTAATGTTAGTGTATCTCCTGGTCAGACACACGCATTATACTAGCAATAACCTTCTAAGCTATCATTTCTCTCTGTCCCACCGAATCCTCAATTCTCTCTCCTTTAACTCTTTACCTAGTATCTTTAACACTTCATAGAGTAACCTGTATTGTCCTCCAGAAAAAAAAAAAAAATGGAGGTATTTTGGAGTTAAGCAAGGCTTCACTGAGGTTTAATTGTATTTGATGTTTTTGGTGGCAGAATATAGGAAATTGACCCCAGGAAAAGAATTGAAAATCTACCCTACTTTTGCTGTAGAAATTATGTTTTCATATTATTAATCATTTTATACTTCTTAAGTTTTTAACTATTTTTCTTGCTGAATTTATATTTTAAAAACCAATAAATGGGATGTTTTGCTAAACACTAAGTAATCTACAGAGTATCTTTTTTAAAAGTACATAAGACACTATAACAGTTTTATTCATAATTATTACTAATTACAAAATTGCAATTGAAGAGTAACTTTAATTCATTAATACTGAGGCATGTAATATACTAAACAAAATTAATGTAATAAGACTATTTTTAGATTATCATAATATTATCTGTAATTTTTTTGTTGTTGCCTCCTTTGGAAAATGTTTCAGTACAGTAGAGTGCCATGTGATGTGCATGTTCAGAACTGAAATTTTATTTATCAATATCAAAGTAATGAATATTTATTTTTAACCATTTACTCTTTACATTTTAATTACCTTGCCTTTTTCTGTCATAAAGAAAGCCAAGGGCAGGACTGTGTTTTCAACCTATTGTTCTAAATGTAATTTGTGATGTTGTGTGCCTTAGCATCCATACCGATACATGTTGACTACTTCTACTGCCTAAGATCTGTAATTCTGGAATCTGGTCCCAGGATGTCATTTTTTATAGTATGACTCAGATTGGCCAGATGAAGCCTGAATCATGCTATAGATGATGAAATTTAAGTGTAAATTTCAATAATTATTATATGTCATTTTCAAATTGTTTCAATTGCCTGGTAAAAACTTTGCTTTGGATAAACAGTCCCTAAATCTTCCCTATTTATATTTATTATATTTACATTTTTAAAACTTCTTAGAAATGTTCTCAGTATTAAATGCTTACAATTTACAGATAAATCAGAATTTACAGATAGAATGCCATGAAAATAATTTTTAAATGAAGCCCTTATTGAGTACAGTCGACACCTAAAATATAGGAACTTCTGCTTCAGGAATGAAATTTGCATGGTATTATTGTGAAGAGTCCTGATTTACCAGACACTGCACTGAGTGCTTCATGCATCTTATTTCACTTAACCCTCAGAATAACCCTGCTGAAGCAGGCTCTCTAAATTACCCCCATTTACAAATGAGAGATCTAAAGCCTCGAGTTGTTAAATTACTTTGTCAAGGTCACACAGTTTGTACATGGCAGAAATGGGATTAGAAGTAATCTTGGCTGACTCCAGATTTCACATTTAACCACCATGCTATATTACTGTACTAGTTGGGAAATCAAATTTAATGTGATGGCATGACATAAAATTTTTAAATTGTTCCACTCTGTCATCTGTTTATGAAAGAAAAAAATCTTTGTTTCAGGAAGCAAAGAGAGTTTTCTTTAAAAAATGAAATTTCAAAAATCATCAAACCGAAGAAGTTAATGTTGATCTAGTAAGTTTTTAATGCAGAAGATATCATAATCCCCAAAAAATTAAACTGAAAAACAAATTAGGTGAGCCCAAAAAATTGTGTCTGAGTGGTCATATCTTTTCATAATGATTTTACTTAAACGAAAACATAGAAAGCAGATTTTAAAGTATTTGAATTTCAGAAAAATCTAGACATAACTGATGAAAGAACATGACTGAAAAAATATATAATTGTGTAGACATCTAGATGTAAAGATATGTTGGAAATTGATTTTTCTTCCCAAGCCTCACTCCTGTTTACTTCTAGTTAATATTCTTAACCTGTGAAAGAATGTTATCATATGTTAACAACTTTCATGTTTCACAGCAAAATAGAGATGTCAATTAAAGTATAGGCTTTCACTAAAATAGCACTAGATCCAGTAACACAGAGAAAGGATTTCTGGAGCTATGAGACTAAGGAATGGATCACCCACACATATATTGCCCATCTACTTGGGATTACATCATATGCTGCTCTACTTTATCACATCATCCATATTCAATCAGCTGATAACATTGACTTATAGAATTAGTTTGATTTAATATGCTCTTTTTTTTCTTCAACGCACGCTATCTTAATTCATATTAGCTAAATCTTGTTGCCTACTTCATCATAATGACCCCACATCTCACCAAGAGAAACATAAGAGCATATATTCTTGCTTTGTTTTATATGGCTGCACGCAGGCAGATGGCTGTCTCCTACTGTAAAGTTCAGAATGACAGATTTAGAATATCAGTGCCTCGTGTTGGGGAAAAGCGTATGCCTCTGACTATTAATTGTAAGATTAACATTTTTAAACAGCCCCATACTTTTTAGTGTTCTATAAAACAATTTTATAAATAATCCAATAAAGGAGTATTTAAATGCCATACATTAACAGCAAGAAATATTTTGTTTTAATTGATATTCTATCTACAGATATTACATATATAGTTAAAGGTTAACTGTACTGAGTAAATTACAAAAGTAGAAATAAAAATGAGAGGGTTTACTAGGTGTTTTGTCTTGTTAAAAAAAAAATAGACTGCCTAGATATCTTTGCTTTTACCATAACTGGAACATATTAAAAGTGTACAAGAGTAGTCCTAATTTATTTGTTAACTTTAGATCAGATATCTGAGTGTCAGGCATTCCACAACCAAGAAGGCAGGGAAACAGAGCATTAGTAAGGTTCTTACAACAGTGATTTATCTCTTCCAGAGAACTGATGGTCTACATCATCAGAAAAGGACCAAGAAATAGGTGTCTGCCTTTTCAAATGTTAATATCCATGTCTGAAAATCTGTATGAAATCAGAGAGCAATGCTGCATATTTATCAGTACATGACAATAGCTGAAATACTGAGATGTTAAATTGAAAATAAATGGGAATTGAAGTCAACAACAGTGACTAAAAGGAGACGAGATTACCTATTATCAAAGACAGGATATTTCATTTTTGAAGTCAGGGGTACACTGGAGGTTTATAACCTGCTCTTCTCTTCACTATGAACTGCTACATTCTCCAGCAGGGAATACTGGGCTCAGCTGGAGACAAAGACAGGCTACTCCCTATTCTTGTGCTTATAACTATGACACAATCCTCAGTGAGCTTAAATCAAGGTTTTGACAGGGCTGTGTTCCTTACTGGAGCATCTAAGTGAGAATGCATTTCCTTGCCTTTTCCATCTTCTAGAAGATGTCTGAATTTTTTGGTTCATGGTCCCTTC